TGCAGGACTATTCTCCTGTCAGGACTGGTGTTTAAGAGGCTTGAGTTGACTAGTAGACTCACCCCACCAACCCCAGTTCCTCTTGTCAATCTGCTTGAAGATGCTTTGTGGGCTGCTTGTGCCAAACTGCTTTCATTGATCCCAGGTGGTTAAGAGAGAAGTTAAGAACATGTTTCCTGTTTGTTCCACTCCACACATGTATCTTGCCATGTATGGTATTGGCTCTACAAAATTGTGGTAGTTTGAAGCAATAGACAGTCTCAAGTCATGTGAATCCCAGGCTGCTCAGGGCTTGTCTGTGGTTGTTTGGGTCAGTATCTTATCAGACCAGGTGCCTCCACACATTCCAGGTGCAGCAGCCCCTGGAACTGGCTACTTTTCTGAGTGTATTCCTGGTTGGAGAAATACATTACCCCAGTGGGAGGGGAAGGCTAATCCTCCCATTATTTGTCTGGTTCTCAAAAAACTTGAACAACAGGTTTAACTTACATCTGTGCCATTTTAATGCACATTTTTTACAGGTATACTTATGGCACTCCTTTTTGCTCCATAGCCAGATGGCCCCCCCAAAAAAATCTCTTCTGAGTAAGAATGCCTGTGGTATGACTTAGTGTCTGTGAGCTCCCGTGAGGCTTTAGAGCCAAGACAGCGTTCTTCCCCTCCTCTTTTGTACCCACCTCACATTAATTCAGCAGAACCACCCAGCATATTATAGATGTGATTCTGTAGTGCAGCAGTTTCCAAACTTGCTTGATTTTAAAGAGTCATTGGAAGGGATTTGTTACACACACAGGTATCTTGAGTATTAATCCAGACTTAGTGAATCAGAATCTTTATGGGAGGGGCCTGGGAATTTGTATTTTTTTTTACAAGTTCCTCAGGTGATTCTTAAAAATTGAGCAAGTTTAGAAAACATTGCTTCAGTGCAGCAAAAATTGCTCAACTATAGGTGGTGAAAATATTTAAGCACACAGACTATAAGTGGACAGAAATGTAGAATAACACATCAGTTCTTTGGGATAACTGGATTCCTTCTGTTTGCCCTTGCCTTCTAGCTAAGGGATACATTGCTATCTGGTGGAGTTCCTTCTGCTTTTATTGCTCAGTGGTTTGTGTACTGTTCCTCTCTCCAGGCAGTCCAGGTGGTGCTTCTCTGGCCACCTTTTCAGGTCCTAGCTGTCAAGTTTCAGTAAACTTCTGGTTCACTAAATTCTTCTCCATAGGTCTTTCAGCTTCTTCTAGCGAAAAGACCTCTTTTTCCTCCCATTTCTAGTTGTCCATTCAAGTATACATGTCTCTTTTATTGTTCTCTCCGTGCTTCCATTTTATGAATTCATTCAGGCATTCATTCAACAAGTGTCTATTGTGCCCGGCTGTGGGCTGATTACAGAGATGAAAAAGACACAATCCTTGCCCTCAAGTCTACTAGGGACACAGATGTGTAAACAAATAATTAAAATACCAGTGATGTGCTTAGTACTATCATAGAAGTGTGTGCAGATTTGTAGGGGCTCCAGGAGGAAGCGACAAGCAGGTTGTGGCAGGTGCAGTGAGGTGACTGAGCAGGCTCTTGTGACCAGAGAAAAGTGGAAGGCATTTTTAAATTACTGTATGGCCCATCACCATACTCCTCACATTCTCATTGTCGTTCATCTTCTGGGTCTTCTTAGTATCTTTGCTATCTATGGTCTAACAGAGCCAATTGGAGTGACTGAATTTTTCTCTTGATTGACTTTCCGAGATGGTCATAGTTGATATCTAAGACAGCATGTGTCACCCTTTGACCAATGATCATTGACTGACAGTGCATGATTGAGAGTCTAAGCATTTAAGAAAGCTAAAAATTTTAAAGGCCTTTCTTTCACTTTACCAAATGTGTTGTGAGCCAGCAGAAGGGGTGTTTTGCCACTTAAGGGAAGGGAGAGGAGAGAGAAGCTTGTGAGTGGAGAATAGAACAGGAGAATACTCTGTTGTTTCTTTTGCAATAAAAGATATGATTTCCTGTTTCTAAGGAAGATTTCCTTGATAGGTTCCAGTGTTTCTATTGTGTGTGTTGTTGAACTCTTGGACTTGCTAATTTGAAAAAATTTGGTTTTATTACTGCAGTTTCACTTGAGAAATAGAGATGAAGGGCCATTGTGGTTCAATATGTACAGTCTAATAAGGAGTCATGATTGAAGTTATGAAAGAGTCATTGTTTCTTGAAATAATGGATGTTCATATTAGAAAATACAGGGATGCAAAAAAGGAAAAAAAAGCTAAAACAATTCCATAATCTTGCAAGTCATAGCCAGCGACTGTTAGTATTTTGGTGTATGAATATCCAGATTTTTAAAAATATATATGTGTGTAAAAGTATTGTTTTTCCAAAACTTCAGTGTACTGTATAAACTGTTTATCTTGCCTTTTTTCTCTCATATATTGTGAGATCTGAGGTTAGCAAGTATGTAACTACAGAACTCTTTCATTCTTTGTTTAAAAAATGTTTTGTTTTTGATATCCTGGAAATCATTCAGGCTTTTTTTTAATCAAAATTTTTTGATTTGCCATTCATTTACATAACTTTACAGGTCACCCCCTCCCCTGCCCCATCAAACACTGTTCAACTATATAAGACAAGTGAAAATCCTCCACCTCTCATTCCCCAAGGCTAAACATAATTTAGTGGGTATGTGTAGATCTATTAATGTAGTTTACAAAATTAGTTCCTATTTTACCTGATGTTCTGCAGGCTGCCTTTTACACTTAGTGTGTTTTCAGACATCTTCCTGGGCCAGTGCCTTTGGAATACCTGCAGATGATGATGCAAACGAGGATTTCTCATCCTCGGTGCCCCTGACGTTTTACATTGTGTAATTCATTGCTGGGGGGTTGTTGTGTGTTTCAGGATGTTCAGTGGCATTCCTAGCCTCAATTCCTTGGATACCAGTAGCACCCCCTCCTCTAGTTGTGACAGAATGTCTCTAGACATTGTCACTTGTCCCCTGGGACCAAGTCGAAAGCCACCAGTGTAGACGTGTCTGTAAGAAAAGCATCAATAGTCCTTCCAGTTTTTCCATTATAAAGAATGGCATAGGGAATATTCTCATATTGGTTTTTATGCACCTGTGTGAATATTTTCATTAAATTCCTAGATGTGCAGTTGCTGAATGGGAATTTTGATTTATAGGAGGAATATAGGGAAACTGAACAAGGGGTCAGGGAAAAAAAACTAGCAGGCAAATTATAAATCAGAGACATAAAGCCTGGAAGGTAGAGAGGATCAAAATAGGGTAGGGAAGAGCACAGGGACTATGGTGGTGGTGCACCAGTGATGTGTTGGTGGGAGTTTTATGGGGACTACACTTGAGGGGAGAAATCAAATATTGTACAAAAATGAACAATAAAGTAAGAAAAAAATCCACAATGCTTAGGAAAAAAAAAGGCCAAATTACTCCAAAATAGTGTGTCAATTTTTTCTTCAGCTATATCCTGATGATTCCAAATCTGTATTTCTTTCTTGAGTTCTAGATCTATATAGCCAACTGTTGATTTAACATCTCTTGTGGATCCCACTGGCCTTTCCTAAACTTAACTATTATCTTGTTTGACCCACCAAACATGCCCTTCTTGCTGTATTTCTCTAGCAGAGAATATTACCACCATCTGCTTGGTTGTACACTTAGAAACCTTCTCCAGCTTACATCCAAACAGTAGTTAAAGCCTATCCAATCTTCTTCCCTAATGTCTTTCTTCATCCTTTTCTTCCCTGCCACTTCTTTACTACTGCTCTCTTTAAGAGTGAAGCAGTGAAGTAAACTTGCCCAAATCAGTCTCTTCTGGCTCTACCCTTGGTCCTGTTTTCAGCAAGAGTGAACTTGCTGCCCTATATGCTCTGTCAGTGTTGCTCCCCTGTAAGTCTCTCAGTGAGCTCTGCTCTGCTGCCTCTCCACCGTCTTCTGGCCAACCTGATACTCATCAACCTTGGTTTCAAATCTGTGTCCATCAAAATGTGCTTTTTACCCCCAATTGACTATGTAATAAATAAGTGTTTAAAAGTATAAATTTTTATGCTAAAATTTTGACTTTTAAATAAAGTTTTCTCTGAATTAAAAAAAAAAACTTTGGAAAATAATACTTTATCTTGTCACCTCACCACAAATATTTATTCTCTCAGCCTTGAATTGCTTATTCTCCCTTGAATGTCCTTTCCCCCACTGCATCTCCCTTCCTTTTAGTTCTCTCCACCCATCCATTTGTTACTACCGTTTCCTTAGTATCTAGCATATTTCTCAACACCTCACCCACACATCACCCCCACCCCCAGGTAGTCAGTTTATCTTTGCTGCATTTATTGTATTTACATTTCTTGTATGTTTTATGTGTACTTTATTAATTTTATGAAAAAGGTATGCTTGTGTATGAATAATGAAACTGGTGAACCACAGGGAGATGTGCAGATTTTAGCCCCTATTCCAGCATACGTGATAAGATGCAGAAATGTCTTTCAAATATCCCATCCCAGTGCCTGAACCTTGATTTCTCTTAATTGAATGTCTAGTTTTATGTGGTTCTGTGTAGCAATTTAACACCTACTTATTTGCTGCATTCATTTGGTCACGCTGAAACTTTGGGGAGACCATCATTTGTCCACCTCCTTTGTAGCCTTCCACTTTGGTATCTCTTGAATACAAAGGAAATAGGGGTAGGGCTCCTAGAACCTAGGAAACTGTCTGCCAAGTGTGCAGCATATTGCTTTGCTGGATTGGTCTAAGGATAATCCTTACAGTCTTCACAAGAACTCAGCTCCAAGTCTGTGGGAAATCACACATAGCAAAATCCTTGGCAAGGAACTATACATCTTTCCCCCTATTCTATATGTGGTAATTCTATAACATTCTAAATGTGGTAATTCTATACCATTCTGTAATGTGGTAATTCTGTAATTAATTTTATTTTTATAGTGAGCAACCACAGAGGAAGAATAATGGATAATCTGTTTCTTTTTCTTGCTATTTCAGGGGACATCACACAGAAGGGATATGAAAAGAAAAGGTCAAAACTGCTGTCTCCTTACATCCCGCAGACACAAGGTAGGCAATGAAAAGGCATTTAAACCTATTTGGTATTTTTACACCAAAGACATGCTGTCAGAGACACAAGAGATGTGTCTTTGGTTGGTTCCTGTTTTTTCCCTCCCTCACCAGGGGAGAGGAAAAAACGGAAGGAAAGAAAGGAGGAAATGAATCTTTATTGAGCATCTGCTGTGCGCTCGGCCCTTGTAAAAATCCACCGTCATCAAATCACTTACATGGAGCTTGGGTGGGAATGTGTCTGTGCAGAACTAACGTGATTGGGTGGCAGAAAATGCCAGGCCGTGGAAAAGCTGCGTATTATGCCTGAGCATGAACTGTAATGGAGAGGAGCAAAAGGAGGAAAGGTCAGGAGGAAGGACAGTTCAGTACTGCAAGGCATCCCAAGGATTGGAGAATCTGAGGATTTGGTTCTAAGAACCCTAAATAAAATTTTAAATTGATTCACAGCCAGACTTATTCCTTTTACAAAGAGACTGGCACGTTCTTTATCAGAAAGACCTGAGTCATTTTTGTGCTTATTCCGAAGGCTTTAATTCCTAGGGCTTGCCTCTAGGCAAGGCTGTCTGTCTCTAAGTCGTCATTTTTTTTAAAGTTAAGCTGATTCCAGAGTCACCTTTGATAACCTGTTTCTGCTTGAATCACTTTTACTAAGAGAAATTTTTTCTTGATTTCCAGTTTCCCTCCTGCAGGCAAAGTCCATTTCCATTGTGGAGCTAATTGCATTTATTTCCAGATTACAGATACCTTGAGGACTTTGTATCCCCTGTGGTTCTGATATCAAGCCTTGCACAGGGTATATAGTCTGTAAATATTTGCTGAATGAGTAATGGAATAAATAAGTGAATAGTGGTATAGTCAATTGTTTTATTTCCTGAATTATTCTTAGAAATTCTTCCCTATAAAAACTAAACTAGTAGGTCAGTGCAATCATAGTCAGTTTTAAATACCTTAATCATGAGTGGATGTAGAAATGAATTAAGAGGGAAGAAGTAGAAATTGGGCCAGTGACAGCTAATGAAAAATCAGCTTTTGCTGAACAAGGCATAACAGAGAAGGCGAATACTCAAATTGACTGTTGAATTGTCAATCTGGCCCATGAAGGCCCAGAATTTTACTTTAGGCACTTTGTGCAAAAGCAACCAGATCCTGAGAGAGTAACTGAATAAGAAATCTAACTACAGACAGGACCATGATCTGCCTGTAATCTGTAGGCAAACTACACAGAAACCAAATCATGTTCTAAAACCAGTTTATCAGTTTACTATGAGAAATCACAGAGACATACTCCAAGTCTGTGTGGTCAGCACATTTTTACCCCGAGGGCAGGCCTGTGTAGGGTGCCAAATAACAAATAGAAGGTTGCTTAGTAAGTATAGATTTGAGGAATCAGACATTTAAGTGCAGTAGGCCAAGAGAGTGCAGCATAGCCATTTCACAGTAGGGAAGGTCTTGCTGATGACCTCATGGGGGAAATAGAAGCTATTTGATGGTATCTCTTTGAGCTTCCTATCAAACTTTTCACATTTGTCCATCACTTTGATCTCCTTCCTTCTTGTTAAAAAGGTGATTTCCCCTCCTCATCAGAGCAAATGCTTATGCTTTGGGTCTCTTCTGTTCCTCCCCTTTCATAAGACTTGGTATCATTCAGTGACACCAAGGACAGACCAGAGGACGTGACCACTCCGGTATAGGTAGTCACGGTACAGTGTCTATAGAGCGTTTAAACAGCCATAATAAAACCAACAAGAAGTTGGTCTGCTTTTTATTATCACAGTGTGTAGTGATTCTAAACACTGTCAGCAATAAAATGCTCTATGGTCCTCCTGCTGAAGCAACTGCATTGTCCTCTTGGTGTGCCTTTGCTGTCAGTTCCTCGTCTCTTGTGCACTCTCTCTTTCCCTTTCAGCCATATTCTTCCCCTCAACAGTTCATCATACTCATTACTGTTGTTTTTTAAATCCTTGTCATCCACGTCCATCTCCGCCTTTTTTCTTTCTCACCTTAATGAACAGCAGCTCAGAACTGCCTGTACTCACTATTTTCTCAACTTCTACTCATTTGTCAGCCCGTTCCAGTCCCTTCTGAAGCTATCATAGTTGACGCCTCAGTGGCATATCCTCATCTTCCTCTGTTAAACGTTGGAATTCTTAGTACAAAGTCCCAAGTCCTCTTAACGTTTCACTCTGTATCATTGGTTTGCAAATTCTGGTCTGCATCAGAATCACTACAGGACATGTTAATATACAGATAGCAGGACTCCATTCTCAGGGATTCTGATTCAGTAGGTCCAGGGTAGGGCCCAATAACTTGCATTTCTGTCCAGTTCCCAGGTGATGCTGAGGTTGCTGGTCCAGGCACCACACTCTGAGAATCAGTGCTTATCTTCCTAGAGTATTTCAACCATACCTGTGACTTTAATTGCCATTTGAATACTGCTAACTCTCAAATAAGCATTTCGGAGATTTCTCAGTGCAGATTTCTCCTGAGCTCTTGATCCATAGATATCCAATTGCATATTTAACACCTCCATTATTTATCTTAAAGGAAACATAGCCATGAAATTTATGACTTCTGCACACCATCCCACCACCACCAGCACCACCACCTGCTCCTTACATACACAAACACAGAAAACAAAAGGCGAAAAACAAAAAAACAGTAACGATGACATTGAGCCTACTTCCACACTTTTCTTCTGGTTTTCCCCTTCTGAGTAAGAGGACTTACATCCAGCAAACCCACAAGACACATTCTTAAGTCATTCTCGGCATCTCTTCATCTCGTCTTTTGCTAAGTTTTATCAGTTTTCTATTTATTCATGAATGGTTTTGGTAATTAGTGTTTCCTAGGAATCTGTTTTTGTATGTTTCCAAATTTATTGTTTGTTAGTTATTATACACTGTTGTCTTTATTTTTAATTTTTAAAAAAATTGTATATATTGTTTACTTGTATTTCTTTTCTTTTTTCTTTCTGTTGGTCAGTTTTCCCAGAAGCTTGTCTTTTTGATTTTAATTTTATCTTCTTTTAGTATATATTTTCTGATTTATTTTCAGCCTCTCCCTATATTTCCTTTCTTGAACTCTTTTTGTTTACTCTCTTGTACTTTTTCTGAGTTTCCTGAGTTTTGGATGTTTAGATTTTCTGTCTTCTTTCCTACGATGAGTATTTCTTAATTCTACTCTGATTAGAGAACACACATATACAAAATCAAGTCTTTGTTATTTGTTAAGACATGCCTATTGTATTTGGCAAATTTCTATAACATCTATTTGTATTTTATTTGTTGAGTGGGTTGTTTGGATCCATTAATTCAAAGTGGTTAACTGTGCTGTTCAGATCTTTGCTCTTTATTTTTGTATAGTTGAGCCGTCAGTTCTGGTAGAAGTGTGATAATCTATACCATCACTGTGGCTCTGTCAGTTTTCCTTGTACTTTTGTCAAGTTTTGCTTTATACATTTTAAAACTGTTTCTAGCCTTTGTGAATTGTTCCTTTTATCATGGAACTGTCTTTGTCCCTGTAAAATTTTTTATCCGAAGAATTAAAAAAAAAATTCTCAACTGTTCAGAGTTATTAGATCTCTAATTCTCCTCCCAAACAACACAAGGACTTTAAAAAGATTTTCGTGTTGACTGCCATCACTCCCACCTTATATTTTAATATCACCTTGTTTCATACCCCCTCAATTGTCAGTTACTGTTTTTTACGTACTTAATGATAGTCAATATCCGTTTCTTTGTTCCCTCTTTCCTCTCACATGTCACTCCTTCCTCTCAGGTCAATTTCCTCCTTCCTAATAGTAACATATACATCCTATAGTAATGACATATTCTAACGAGGGTTTCTTAGTGATAAGTTCTGTTAATTCACGTTAATCACTTTCTTTGCACATCTTTGTTCTTGAATATGTTCGCGTCTTCTGAAAGGGGATTGCTTGTAGGTTAATCTGTATTACATAGGTTCTCTTGCAAAAAAAAAAAAAAAACCAAAAAATTACCCTCTCTGGCGTATTTACCCCATATAGTTTTGTAAATTTTGGAGAAGGCATTTAGTTTGATGTTTTGAATAGCATTGGAATTTGTATTTTAAAGTTATGAAATTATTGATGTCTCACATAGGATGAAATGAAATGAAAGTCATTTTAATATGTATTTTTAAAAAACATATTTATTTTGTAGAAGAACTGGGGTATAGGCCAGAAGTGCAGGAATGAGAGGATTCACCAGAGACAGGGTGGGGGGCAGAGCAGGCAGAGCGACTGAAATACACTGCTAAGGGTAGCAGTGAGATCGGAGATATCTGCTGACCATATGTGGGTTAGCTCTTTGGCCAGGATGGCAATCAGGTCACAGTTGTGATAACCTGAGACTTCACCCCTAGGCTACCAGGGAAGCGCCCCCTCATTTTAATGCTTTCGATAGGAGTTTCCTACTTCTTATTTCTAGAGAAATTTGACCTTTTCCAAACTATAACTTTGTTAGATTTCATTCACTCCAATTGTGCATGCCCTCTTGAGTATAGTCCATGCAGGTAAAATTTTTCCACTAATCTTTTTTTTTTTTTTTTTTTTTTTTTATAGAGGCATGTTTATTTATTTATTTATTATATTTGTTTGTTTGTTTTGTTTATACATGCACTGGGTACAGCCAGAAGCGCGGGAGGGTGAGAGAATTCACCAGAGCCAGAGCGGGGAGCAGAGCAGGCAGAAGGACCGAAGTACACTGCTGAGGGGAGCAGCGGGTGGCAGGAGAGGTCCGCGCACCATGTGGGATCCTCCTCCGGTGGCCAGGGAGCAGCCGGGGATCGAACCGGCGCCGCAGAGGCCGCGGGCAGCTTCGCAACCCAGCGCTCAACCGCTGCGCCACCGGGGAGGCCCTCCACTAATCTTTTTTGAAACAAAAATTAATATTGACTGCAGCATTGTATTACTAGAATAACCATATGCATGTGCTTATTAAAAATTTTGAATTATCTGAAAATTTAGTGAGTGATTTTTC